GCCGCCAGGGCCGCCCTCGCGGTGCTGCAGAGCCCCGGCCAGCTGCCCTTCCTGGACCGCGAGGCGATCGGGGCAGCTCAACTCGTGCTGGCATCCAGTTCATACTCGCCGGGTCTGAGCCGTGGCAGCGTCAGCAAGAGCGGCTCAGGATGAAGACCGGCCCAGGGCAGGAAGGTGTCGAGAGGTCCGGGCTGCCGTGCTTCGGGAGCGAATCCAGCCGCCGGATGTCTGCCCGAGCTCGGCTGTCCTTCTGACCTCGCCCTCTCCCCCCGCCCAGACATGCAACGCCTCGACAAAGCCAGGGCGGAGATGTTTGCAGCTTTCGGCCTCTGGGGGCCCTCGCCGCGCCGCGGACCGCCAAAATACTGCCCAGCCCTGGGAAGAGGGTTGGGACTTCCAGGGGCCGCGCATTGGCAAAATCAAGACATCGTCACATGTCTGCGTGCCATTCCCCCGTTGGGACCGTCCAAGAGGTGGGTGATGACTGGGGGGGGGGGGGGATGTCATGGCCAGGGCCGTGGTAACTATCTCCCTGGAGTTCGTGGCCCCGCGTTCTCTGGCCTCCCCAGGGTCGCGCCCGCGCCTTGGGCCATGATGCGCACCCCCCTCTCTTTCGGATGCCCCCGAGCTCACCATGTTCTGACCTCGCCCGATCCCCAGATGCCCCGCCAGTTCCGCGCAGGAGCCCCGCCAGTCCCGCGCAGGAGGCTCCTGCGCGGAACTGGCGGGGGAGGGGGCGGGGATGTTCTTTCCAGAAGTCTCGGAGGGGAAGGGGCGACGCGAGCGTAAACCTGCGGAGGCCCAAGGCTCCGATCCCCATCCCCACGTAGGCCACGGCATCTCAGCCCCACCAGTCCACCCCCAGGTGGGGATCTGTCCTGCAGCGAAGCCCGAACGGAAGAGCACATATGATTCCGGGCTCCGGGCCCACGGCCCCCCGCCCCCCTACAGATGGGACGGGTCTCAGGGTCCCTCTGGCCCTCCTCCCACCTGATGGGATGGGGGGGGCGACGACGACGACGACGACGACGACGGCGGCGGCGACGACGACGGTTATGACGACGACGACGACGACGACGACGACGACGACGCCGACGACGACGGCTATGACGACGAAGACGACGACGACGGCGACCGCGACGACGACGATGACGACGACGGCGACGACGACGAAGACGGCGACGACGACGACGGCTATGACGACGACGACGACGACGACAGCGACGCCGACGCCGACGACGACGATTGCGGCGACGACGACGCCGACGACGACGACGACGACGACCACGACGACGACGGCGGCGCCGCCGACCTCCGGAGCCCTCCGACGACGACGGCGGCGGCGGCGACGACGACGACCTCTGGAGCTCTACTGGAGCACCACGGTACCACGCCACACACGCCACGCCCACAGCACCACACCACACCCACGGGGGGGGCCATCGCGCGGGGGGGTTCTGATGGCATCAGCATGAGGGGGGGGGCAAAGACCATGAACCACACATCCCTACCTTGGATGATAATTTAGCCAGCGGGGCTACTGCCATGACAGTGGGGATGGAGATCGGCTCGCGGTGGCGCGACGCGGGCGTTGCCCGACTTTGATTCCCAGGTCGCCCCCAGAGATCCGACGCCTTGAAGAAATTGGAGCGACCAGCCTGTCTCCGCTTTGGGCCTCTGCAGGCCAGTTTCGGGCCTCGGGGCTGTCGGGAAACAACCCGGCGTCAAAGATCTGTCTCCGGGGAAGCGGCGCCGAGGAGGTCCAGGGGCACACGCATCGAAGCATCGCAGCGCCAGATGCCTGGGTCGGGACGCCGACCAGTCTCGCCTGGGCAGGGCGCCGACCACTCGCTCGCCAGGACGCCGACTCGGCCCCCCCGGGGCCCGGCGCCGCCGCCGCCGCGCAGCTCGGCGCCATGAATCACCGGGCGCGTTCCACTAGTCGTCGTTTTTGTTGTTCGTTGTTTTGCCGATCGGCGCGGGCCCTCGCACACCCCCCCCCCATGGCGTAGATCTTGGCTGGCTGTTTTGGGCGCCGGTTTCGAGCAGGTCTCCCCTCAGGACCCAGTGCTGCAAACAATCGCACTAAGCAGAGGTCCAGAGCCAGACTCCCCCAAGCCCTTTCGGCCCAATGTCGAAACTCCGAATTCAAAAAGGCTTACCTACTCGCAAAGTGCCTACTCGTGAACGTCCGAAGAACACATCGTTGCCTCGGCGTGATGGGTCGTAACTCCCCCGCGGCGGATCCGGGCCATTTGCGAATATAGCTACTTCGCGAGTAGTGGAACGCGCTTGTCTGATGTAAGGGGTCCTGGGGGGGGGGACGGGTCCTTGGCCTTGAATTGGCAGCGTGGGTTGTGGCGCAGCCGGCCCGCTTTGGGGACGGCGTGCACCGAAGAGGCCCCGGCAGGGGGGACAGCGCGCGCAGGCGGGGCCCTCGCGGGGGGAGGATCGCCTCACTGGGATCGCGTGTTGTCTTCGGAGGTCGATTCTGCACGCTTGCTTTCCCCAAGATTTTCGAAGGTTGATGGACCTCCTACCCTGACACCTCGATTAATTAGCGAATTGGCCGTTTTCGGTTCGCGAGAGGGCGTCGCGGCCGTCATTTTTGCGGGTCCATGTCCGTCGGTTTCGGTCGTAGGCCGTTTTCCCTACAGGGTGGTTTACTAAAGGGAGGTTTGTCCACCGCCGAGATTTTGTTTTGTTTACCATACCCTCCCCGCCCCAGTCAGATTCCACCGCCCAGGGCCAGTTCCCTAGTATACAAAAACTGCGCCCCAGGGAGAGGATTTTGTAGTCCAGACCCCCGACCAGGACCATCGCTCGCCCCCCCCGTGGCTTTTGGGTATAGTGTACAGTTTTTGTCAGGCGGATTCTTTCTAGGCCTCCTAGATGGGGTCGGAATTCATGGGGTCGGAGGATCGCGCCGCATCGCCGATGCATCGCCGATGCGTCTCGATGTGCAGCCCGATGTGCTTCACGTCAACGTCTCTGATGCATCGCCGACGTCGACGATGCATCGCCGGTGCATCGCCACTGCATCGCCGATTTATCAGCGATACGGCGCGATCCTCCGACCCAATCTACTTCGACACCATTCTGGATTAACTCGGGCCTGTTTCTCTACAGGAGGAATTTTCAAAGATTGGATTGTTTACAGCATGTTCTGACTGTATTTTGAAGTTTGTTCCCTGTATTCTGATATTCATTCGCACATAATCCGCCTGTAGGAGGACATGCCCAACCTAAATCTAGGAGGGCGCTTCTGCGCGGCCTCGGGGCCCGAGGAGGAGCGCCCCGTGGCGGCCGCAGGCTGCCGGAGGCCTCCAGGGGACCCGCTGCGAGCGACATCCGGCGACGGGTTGTTTTTTCTGTTTAGGTCCTGCGGCCCCAGAGGTCCCGACCACCTCCCCCAGGGACAGCCTCTCATATTGGGAGGAGGAGGAGGAGGAGGAGGAGGAGGAGGAGGACAGTGGACGCGCGAACGGTGTGTTAGCTAACGGCGAAGTAGGAGATCCAATCGTCGGAGGGCGTGGTTCGTGGCCAAACCAACTGTAGGAACGCCTGGTTCGTGTTTTCCTACACTTCGCTGTGTCATCTTCGTTCGATGCATTCGCATATTTGGAATGTACGAACCGGTGCTTAGTGATTTCCTACATTGTTTTGCGTGAGCTCGGTGTCACAAGAACAATATTCACAACTGCACCGTTAACCAAGCACCGCCGTCAGCGCGGCCTTGGGAAGAGGAGGAAGAGGAGGAGGAGGAGGAGGAGGAGGAGGAGGAGGAGCAGGAGGAGACCTATTTTTGATGGCCCCGGGGCCCGAAGGCGGCTCCCCATGAGGTCGAAGCGGAAGGGAAGCTGGCAGGACTGGAAAAAGCAATTCGCAGGACTCGGGGGCATCTTCTATGCAGTGAGCCCCCAGCGCTGGAGGTCGAGGCCGCGAAGCGGGTCGTCGCCGAGCGCGAGAAGCGCGACCGGCGCGGCCGCGGCTACCTGGCGGGCAAGCTGAGGCGGTTACCCACCGGCGAGAGCGGGGCCTGGCTGGAGGAGGACCGGCTGGATCTGCGCGGCGGTCCAGGGTCGAGGGCCCGATTTCCATGACGGGTTCGCGTCGTGGGCAATCAACGATTGAGCGTTTTCGGCAGTTGTTGGCCTCGGGAGGTCCTTACCTCGACTATACGTACAAGTGACCCTTCGCCAGAAGGATCTTTGTTGCGGGCCCATCGGGGACCTTCCGATCGCTGAGCGCGATGCGATAGCAGCTGATTGCGCGCTTGGAATCGGCCACCTTGCGCCCCCATAGTCCGCGCACCAAAGGCCACTTCTAATTACCCAGGGTCACTCTTGCGTGTAGCCGACCACGGGACCCTGTGACCGTCAGGAACGGCTCAGGATGAAATTCCGAATTCCCGAGGAGGGGTCCGGGCCTCTGGGGACCCACCTCTCAGGAGGGGGAAAAACACACAGACACACGCTTAATCGTCGGTTCCACATAAGGTATGATGAGGAAGTATGCGAAGCAGGGGGTAAGACGAAAACCCAGAAAATTGAGGAAAAGATGGGACATCATTGGATTTGTGTGTGTGTGTCCCTAGGCCATCTGGGTAGAGACGCCCTGGGGCCCGACGAGGCCACGGCGGTGCTCCCGGGCATTTCTGTTGGGCCTGCCAGAGAGGCTTCTCGCCGCCCCATGGCTGGATCCGTCTCGACGGGGCAGGCGATGGCTTGGCATCGCTCGGACGTGTGCAGTTTCTTCTCGGCGAAGGCCATCGAGGAGCATCCTGGATCATTGGGCAGACAGAACGCACACGAGACCGAGCAGTGCACAAGGAATGGACGTCCGAGCGATGGCAGGATGGACTCCAGGAGGGGCCCGGGCACTGATGCCGAGAAGGGAGATGGGGGTTGGTGGGAGAGCAGCCCCAGGGGCAACGACAGAGTGTTGATAGGAGGGGGTAGGCATAGGGGAGGGGATGCAGTGGGGGCGTGCATCCAGAGACCACGTGCTTTTCGCCTGGGTGCCCTGGGTTTCTTGGCTCCGTGCGCTGGGCGGAGGCTTCCCTCGGCCGATGAAGAAGCTGCTGCGTTCAGGGTTCTCTGAGGCCCCCGTCAGGTGCACCTCGCGCGCGGGGTATGCACGTTGAGCCGCCCCGGGGGCAGGCTTTCACGACGGCGGAACAGCTGTGTCATACCGTTCTTCGCCCGCTAAGGCAGGGGTCCGATTGCCCCAACTTGCCCAGGAGCGTGCGGATTCACCGTCGGGCGCCTATCGCCGATCTATCGGGGACGTGTCGCCGGTTCCAGGTCGACGTGTCCCTTCTTAGGCCAGCCCCCCTCTCCTTGCCCCCCAGTTACGGGAGAGCAGCCGTTGTCTCCATTGGCCCTCCGAGGTCTGGTTGCGCGAACAAGGGGCGGGCGCGAGCCAGGCGACCTACCGAGAAGAAGCGGGACTTCTTGGAAGGCCCCGGGGGCTTCTCAGGAAAGGCTCTCAGAAGCCAGGAGTGCTTCTAAGAAGCCGCGTGCCCTCTTAGCGGACCAGGGCCCTCTCAGAAGGCCCCCCCCCTCGCGCCGGCTCCGGATTTGTCGGATCGGCGCTGGACACCACGTGACAGAAACAAACTCTCGAGGTCCGCGCCGATCTCCTTGATCGGCGCTGGACGCCCGTGGCATCAGCACAAACTGTTGGAGGTCCGTGCGGACTTCTCGGATCGGCTCTGGACTTCCCCTGGTGGCGCCTTCGTAGTCGCCCCTGGCGCGCTGCGCGCGCGAACCGGTCCAGGGATCCAGGGAGGTCAGCGCCGACCCAAGATCGAGCAGAGGCGAAGCGTCCTGGCTTGCCTATAGGTTTACCAAAGATTGTTTCTCAGAGCCTCTCTGTGGTCTGCACGTAATGTTCTCACAACATGTCTGGCTGGGGCTGTCGTGTTTGAACACATCGGATGTCTGGTCTAAGAACATCGTCTTTGTTCTTAGAACATCCTTGGGGTCTAAGAACAGTTCGTGGTAGGCGTATAGGAGTGCCGGGACGGTCCGTCCCTGCTCAACAAGAATTTCTCGTGGGCCTCCAAAAGTTCGCGGTCATGTGATGTTTTGTGCGTAACGGCGGCTCCCTTTGTGTCTCATGGTTGGTTGGTCTGGCTTATTCTGTGATGCTGGTTTGACTTCACGTTTCATTGTGTTCGGTGTTTGGATTGTGGAGTGATCTGTGAGCTCTTTTGAGTCAACTAGAAACCTATCAGTCTACGCTGTTAGGTAATTATCCCGGCAAAGCAACCTAACAGCCATGTGTAGGAGCCGGCCGGGGCAGCCGGCCGCCCTCCCCTCCTGCTCGTCCTCCTCCTCCTCCTCCTGCTCGTCCTCGTGCTCCTCCTGCTCGTCCTCTTTCTCCTGCTCCTCCTCCTCCTCCTCCTCCTCCTCCTCCTCCTTCTCCTGCTCCTCCTCCTCCTCCTCCTCCTCCTCCTCCTCCTGCTCGTCCTCGTTCTCGTCCTCCTCGTCTTGCTCGTCCTCCTCCTCCTGGTGCTCTCTCCTCCTCCTCCTCCTCCTCCTCCTCCTCCTCCTCCTCCTCCTCCTGGTGGTCCTCGTTCTCCTTCTCCTGGTGCTCTCCCCCCCCTCCTCCTCCTCGTCCTCCTCCTCCTCCTCCTCCTCGTCCTCCTCCTCCTCTTCCTCCTCCTCCTCCTCCTCCTCCTCCTCCTCCTGGTAGTCCTCCCCCTCCCCTCCTCCTCCTCCTCCTCCTCTCCTCCTCTTCCTGGTCGTCCTCGTTCTCGTCCTCCTCGTCTTGCTCGTCCTCCTCCTCCTGGTGTTCTCTCCTCCTCCTCCTCCTCCTCCTCCTCCTCCTCCTCCTCCTCCTCCTCCTCCTGGTGGTCCTCGTTCTCCTCCTCCTGGTGCTCTCCCCCCCCTCCTCCTCCTCGTCCTCCTCCTCCTCCTCCTCCTCGTCCTCCTCCTCCTCTTCCTCCTCCTCCTCCTCCTCCTCCTCCTCCTCCTCCTCCTCCTCCTCCTCCTCATCCTCCTCCCTCCTCCTCCTGGTAGTCCTCCCCCTCCCCTCCTCCTCCTCCTCCTCCTCTTCCTGGTCGTCCTCCTCCTCCTGGTCGTCCTCCTCCTCCTGCTCGTCCTCCTCCTCCTCCTGCTCGTCCTTCTTCTCCTGCTCCTCCTGCTCCTCGTCCTGCTCCTGCTCGTCCTCGTCCTCCTGGTCTTGCTCGTCCTCCTCCTCGTCGTGCTCTTGCCCCTGCTGAAAGTGTGGCCCAGGAATGGGAGTTCTGGGAAGTCGAAGAGCACGAAGTTGCCTACAGTTGGCTACGGGCATTCAAAATGTGGCCCGGGAATGGAGTTCTGGGAACTCGAAGAGCACGAAGTGGCCTACAGTTGGCTCCGGGCATTCAAAATGTGGCCCGGGAATGGAGTTCTGGGAACTCGAAGAGCACGAAGTGGCCTACAGTTGGCTCCGGGCATTCAAAATGTGGCCCGGGAATGGAGTTCTGGGAACTCGAAGAGCACGAAGTGGCCTACAGTTGGCTCCGGGCATTCAAAATGTGGCCCGGGAATGGAGTTCTGGGAAGTCGAAGAGCACGAAGTGGCCTACAGTTGGCTCCGGGCATTCAGAATGTGGCCCGGGAATGGAGTTCTGGGAGGTCGAAGAGCACGAAGTGTGTGACTGTTGGCTTAAAACGACTTCTGCGGCACCCTGTCCGGCACCCGCCCAGACCCCCCTGTGGAGTCATCTGCTGCTCTCTTTTGAGACCACTAGAAACCTATCAGTCTTCGCTGTTAGGTAAAAAGGAATGCGACGTGGCAACATCTGCCCTCGCCCCTAGAAGGATTCCTATTGGACGCCCCCATAAGAAGGATTCACAGTGGAATCCTCGACAGAAGGGTTCCTATCGAAACCCTCCACTGAATGATTCCTACCGAAATCCTCCACATGTGGATTCCTACTGAAACCCTCTACAGCGGTAGTATCATGGTAATGCTAATGGTAATGGGAATGGGAGTGGAAATGGTACTGGCAATGGTAATGGTAGTGACGAATGGCAATGGCAATGGCGATGGTGATGGTAATGGTAATGGCAATGACAGGGGTAATGTAATGGTACTGGTACAGGTATTGGTAACGGTAATGGTAATGGTAAGGGGGTAGCGATTGGCAATGGCAATGACAATGGCAACGGTAATGGTAATGACAATGGCAATGGGATTGGCAATGGCAATGACAATGATAATGGCCATGGCAATGGCAACGGCAATGATAAGTGTAATGAGAAAGGCAATGGTAATGAGAATAGGAACGGGAATGGGAATGTGAATGGGAATAGGAACGGGAACGGGAATGGAAACGGTAGTGGTAGTGATAACGGAAATGGGAATGATAAGGGTAAGGGTAAAGGTAAAGGTAAAGGTAGAGGTAAAGGTAATGGTAATGGTAATGGTAATGGAAATGATAGTGATAATGGTGATGATAATGGCAATGGTAATGGTCATGAGAATGGGAATGGTAATGGAGATGGTACTGGCAATGGTAATGGTAGTGGCTAATGGCAATGGCAATGGCAATGCGAATGGTAATGGTAATGACAGAGGTAATGGTAATGGTACTGGTAATGGTAACGGTAATGATAGTGGTAACGGGGTGGCGATTGGCAATGGCAATGACAATGACAACGGCAACGGTAATGGTAATGGCAATGGCAATGGCAATGGGAATGGCAATGGCAATGGTAATGTCCATCGCAATGGCAATGGCAATGGTAATGGTAATGGCAATGGTAATGTGAATGGGAATGGGAACGGGAATGGGAGTGTGAATGGGAATGGGAACGGGCATGGAAATGGCAGTGGTAGTGGTAACGGAAATGGGAATGGTAAGGGTAAGGGTTAATGTAAAGGTAGAGGTAAAGGTTATGATGATGGTAATGGCAATGGCAGTTGTAATGGTAATGGTAATGGTAATGGTAATGGTATTGGGAATGGGAATGTGAATCGGAATGGTAATGGTACTGGCAATGGTGATGGTGAAGGGCAATGGCAGTGGCAATGGTAATGGTAATGGTAGTGGCGAATGGCA